AGTGTAAGAATCCATTTCGTGTTAAACATAACATATTTTTAATTGAGTTCTTAAATTATTCATCACTATTTGATTCAATTATCATCAATATATTTTGGTAAATAATAAATTTTTCAAAGGGCAACTGATTTAATGGTGTTACATTGAAAATGTGGTCGCTGGAATATGTGTTTGGTAGTGTATGTCTTATATTTAAGAAAAAACTGACAAAAAACCGAAAAATCGACATAAACTGAATCGAGAAAAATCGACTTAATTGGTTTGATTTGGTTCTAATATTTGAAAAACCGACTTGGTTTGGTTTTTTTTTAGGGAAAAAATCGATCCAAACCGAACCATGAACTAGGGGTGTACAAAGGAAACCGACAAACCGCACCAACCCGATAATCCGAGTCAAACCGAGAAAAAAAAATCGACTATGGTTTGGTGTTGGAAAAAAAAACCCGACCATAATTGGTTTGGTTTGGTTTTAACTAAAGAAGGTCAAACCGAAACCAAACCAACCCGACATTATGTATATAGAAATTTTAGATATATTTAATCTATAAATATACTTATTGTGATGTAATTTATAAATATTTCTTAAAAGATTTCATAATTTTATCTTTTGAGGTATTATTTCAAGGTTGGACTTAGAACTTTTGAATGTTCCAATAAGTTTTCTAGCTATCAACACTAGTAAATTAAATAGTGCTAATAAAAGCCCAAACCAAAATTTAATCAATACTAATGCTAACAAAAAACATTCAATTCAATACTACGAACGTGAATGTATTGAATATCTATTTTTTGTTTTGTAATAATTTAGATAAAAATGCATAACCTATTTTTATTTTTTCTTTAGCGTTTAGTCATGTAATTAATACTCCCTTGTTAGTCTACTTATTTTAGCATAACTTAGTACTTTTAGATTATGTTTATTTTTATTATGGCTCTTTAACTAACAATATTTGTATTACATAATTTTATTGTCTTTATTGTTGAATATTGTAGGATAATGCCATGACATATCTCATATTTTGTATTGTTTTCTTGAAAAATACTTTATATAGTTGTATCTTACTAGGACTAAAGAAATACTTTGAGCACAATTTATATGTTTTGTTCTACGAAGATTTTACCGGAAAAAATCCAAAAAAATTCGAATAACCCGAAACCCGAGAGTGAAAAACCCGACTTTTATTGGTTTGGTTTGGTTTCAGATTTAATAACTTGACACAATTGGTTTGGTTTGATAATTGTAAAATCCGAACCAACCCGACCTATGTACACCCCTACAATGAACACCCCTAATCCTAAGCTTTAGCTAATGGGCCAAAAACTTAAAAGAGTGTTGCACTTTACTTCCTTCTGCTATGACTCTGTGAACGGGCTTGAGTTTTTGGCCATTAATACACTTCGTCAAGGGCTCTTGTCAAGATAAAACAACGGAAACTATCAGCTATGTCCATTTATAAGTAGCTCATTATAAAAATTGGCCAATTTATAAAATATTATTAATATTAGCCAATTAGCTATTTGTAACAAAAAATGGTCAAATTGTTGCTTTCTTTGAGTGATTGTTATTAGAATAAATTGAGTATATCTTAAGGAGCTTGAATCTTAGTTTTAGGATGATTTGGTAAAGTTTTGAGGTGGTTTGAATTGAAAATTCGAAGTAAAAACTGAACATGAAAAAAAATAATGAGTATCACACTGTGTATCATTTGTGTATCACATGTGTATCATACTTGTATCAATTGTGTATCACATGTATACCTGTATGTGAGATACATTCGTGATACATGTATCGCAGAAGAATTTTTTGAACTCGATTTAATTACGAATTTTGATACAAAACCAGTCCAAATCACCTCCAATCTTCCTCAAATTTTGTATATTGACTTATCTATATGTTTTCAATGAATTTCAACTATACTCATAGAAAAAGTTCATTTTTTGCTTAGATTTTTGGAATATTATAATTTTTTTTGTAATTCATCACCTTATTTGCTACCTCATCCATGAAATTTCCTTTCCGTCTTGGATCTAATGTTGCTAATTATGCTTAAAAATATGGAAGGAGAATTTTGCATGTGATTTTTTTAGAAAAAGAATCTTATTTATTTGGTTTTTCAATTTTTATATGTGCTTGGCTAGTTTTGGTAAGTTTATGACTAATGGCTAGAGGTTGGTAAGTTGAGACTTATTTGGGACATTTGTGTAAGTTCCCATCAAACAATAATCTTTCTTTGTTTTGGGCCTTTATTTGTCTATGAATAAATAAAATTGATCGTAAAACAGTCACTAACCAGACAAAAAAAGTGTTCTAGTTACACGCAGAAATGGTTATTTCACGGGAGAAATTCAAAAATAGTCAGATTTACAAGTGGTCATCCAAAAATAGCCACAATTTTAAAAATAATCGAAATTTAGCCATTTTTATGTACAGATAAATTTGAACGAAAGCACTGTTCAAAATCCGAAAAAATACTCCAGTATGAATATTGGAGTTCTAGCATAAGTATACTGGAACGCCAACATATTATAATTGAGTTCCAGCATAACTATATTGGAACTCTAGTATATTATAATGGAGTTCCAACATAAGTATACTGGAACTCCAGCATAATATACTGGAGTTCCAGTATAATATACCAGTCCAGCATAATATGCTGGAAGTTCATACACAGGTGCACCAATCTCCAATATATTATGCTGGACTGGTCCGTCCTGTTGCAGTAAAATAATGGCTATTTTTCAATGACTTTAAAAATGCTGGCTATTTTTAAATGACCAGTCCGAAAACTGGCTAGCCCGTGCTATTTTAATTTATTCACGCTTGCTGAAATGTGCTTTATATTATATATAACAAACAAGCTCTTTGTTTACTGAATATTCTTCTGCAAAAAGATACATTATTAAAAGTTTAAAGTGTGTTCTGCCTGAAATAAAATCGAGACATTTCCTGATATGTAATTAACTTTTATTCTTGTCATGAAAAAAAAAGAGGAACCGTAAACATAAAGGACGCAGTTACTTTGTAGAGGAATACACAATGAAAGAAATGTTCTTTTGTTTCTTTCTATTATAAAACTAGAAAAGATTATGCTATAATTTCATAAAGCAGTCGCAACCAAGAATGGAACTTAGTGGTCAATGAAGTATGATGAGAATTATGAGGTGTTGAGTTCAAATTTTAGTAGAGGCAAGGATCACTTGTGGATTTCTTCCTATCCACCTAAACTTTGATGGACAGAGTTATTCAATACCTATACAGATGGATGTCCGTGAAAACTATTTGAAAAAGAGTCAAATACACATAATCACCATTTAGTTTTGGCAAATATAATGGGCCGGTAACATTGGACCCGTGAATAATACATTACTTTGGACCCCTAGATCGCTGAACTGTCTCACTCAACTATATTAAGGGTGTTCAAAATGTAATATAATCATATAAAATATTATTTGACTTATATATACAATGTAGTTTTTCAATAAACAGTGTTCGCTTGACCACCGTTGACATAGTATAGCTACGCCACTAATAGAAGTTAGCAGATACACCATGAGATGAAATAGTTGTCGGAGGTAGCAGATATTCGGTGTAATAGTTGAGGCATGCACAAACTGACTCGAACTTCACCGTGATAAAAAGATTCTTAAACATTTTTTTTTTCATTATACAAGTGTTGAATAATGAAGCACTACATATCTTTTTGTGCTAGAGGTTTGTTGATTGATTGGACAATGATATTTTTGCGGCTTTCTCTTTCTGATGTCTCTCTCTGCCTTCAATAAGATCTCAGAAATAAATCTTGTAAAGGAAAAAGGAAGACTATATTATGTTAACCTTTTTCCAACTTTTTTTCGAATGATAAAGATGAAAACTACAATTCGATATATCTCTTAATTGGCCAATAAATGTTTTGGTTTCTTTAAAATGAAATGCATAATTTAAACATGTTTTGGGACAAGGGGAATGTCCATATCATGATAAATAATTTTTAAAAAAGCCTATAAAAAAAGCTTTTTCTCCTTTTTGTCTTCCACCACCAGCTCGTGGGGCTGCCATCTTTTGTCTAAATCACAGTATTCAATATGCATGATGTAAATTTACTTGAAACTTGAAAGCTCAAGGGAACCAACGCCTTAATAACTCTTAAACGACATCCCGTTGCATTAAGTATTTCATATTTACGTAGGGTTCGAAAAAAAATCGCACCCTAATGTGATTTAGAGATATTAACCTATACAACGTAGTGTTGCTCGAAAAAACTAGAGTT